CCACCCCTAAACCTACCCGTCTCCACCCCTAAACCTACCCGTCGCCACCCCTAAACCTACCCGTCGCCACCCCTAAACCTACCCGTCTGCACCCCTAAACCTACCCGTCTCCACCCCTAAACCTACCAATCTCCACCCCTAAACCTACCCGTCGCCACCCCTAAACCTACCCGTCTCCACCCCTAAACCTACCCGTCGCCACCCCTAAACCTACCCGTCTGCACCCCTAAACCTACCCGTCTCCACCCCTCAACCTACCCCTACCCGTCGCCACCCCTAAACCTACCCGTCTCCACCCCTAAACCTACCCGTCTCCACCCCTAAACCTACCCGTCTCCACCCCTAACCCTACCAGTCTCCACCCCTAAACCTACCCATCTCCACCCCCTAGATGTGGATCCAACCACGCCCCCTGGATCTTGTGTTCTGCAGTGAGGGGCTACTAGAAAAATGCAGTCGTTTTATAATTCTAGAATTCTTTAAAAGTATTATTAAATTATTTTAAATTTTAACATTTATTTTTAATCTTAAAAAATAGGTCTATCTAATATAGGTAAATCATATTGTACAGATATATATTTTGCATCCCCATTTGGTCCCTAATTGCTCCCTAAACTGCATAGCAACAGCATAACAATCACTCAGTACACCCTAATAACCGCCTAGCAACCATCCAGAACATACTAGGAAGTGCATACCTAGCTATCTATTTGCTGGCTGGCCGTAAAACCTTTCATCTTCAAGCTTTCCAAACTATTTCAAACTTTTGGCCAGGCTTTAGTTAAATTAGTAAAATATTTTGTTAGGTTTTTAAATATAATATTGAACGTTAGATGAGGACAGTTTTATTTAATAAAAAAATCTGTTAAAAAATGATTCAATTAACAGGCATAAGGAAGTATTTAATTGTTGAGTAATAAATGTAAAATATCTACTGATAAATATCTAAAAAATATCTAATGTCAGTGAAAACTAGGGGCCTGATACTGGTCTCCTGTACTCGTACCCGTTAAAACGCACCGATACCAAATGCCGATACCACACAGCATGTGATAAGTGCCATATTCAGACAAAGAAACAGAACAACAGACAGCAGAATGGAGTTAAGGATGTCTACGAAGTATATGTATGCAATGAATATAAATGTTAAACATTCAGTATTAACGCCTGTATAGCTGATGTGCGCGAGCTGATAAACAAATCACGCTGATTGGATTGAGCGCGGCGGCGCAGGGCGAGTACTGGAAAAAGTGGTATCGGTGCATCCCTAGTGAAAACCCATATAGTACCAATATGTATTGTGTAGCTGTCACTATTTTGTCTTGCATAGCAACCATATAGGAACCAACAGCCATAAAAATATCAAATATTGATGAAAACCAATCTGTCATGGAAATTCATTAGTGTGTGAACCTTGTATTAAGAGATCTTACTGTACAGGTCAATGATTGTGTGTTTTCACTCTAGTTACTCCTCACCATCACCTCCACCAATGGCCAGAGCAGCTCCTCCACGATCATACGCTCCAGCGCCCGCTCCCCCTCCACCATCAGCGGTGGCGGCTCCTGCTGCTGCTCCCCGTCAGCCGGGAATGTTCGCCCAGATGGCGTCCACTGCGGCGGGCGTTGCTGTCGGCTCTGCTGTCGGACACACAATAGGTCACGCCATGACTGGCGGCTTCAGTGGAGGTGGAAACTCCGAAGCTGCCAGGCCTGATGTTACCTATCAGGTGAGCACAAATCCAAACTACTTGTTTGAATAGATGCACTCAGCTCTCCCTTGTGAAAAAGTAGTACACTTTTGCATACTTTTAAAAAGAGTACTTGTTACAGAAATAATGTACTTTAGAATTGCAAACTGAATATGTTTTTTGGACACTTAATTACATGTTAATTGCAATTAAATTAAAATGTATTTTATTTCGTGTTTTTAATATCCACTTTCGTAGGATTTTGGTACATCTTCATATGTGACCCTGGAGCACAAAAGCAGTTTTAAGTCGCTGGGGTATATTTGTAGCAATAGCCAAAAATACATTGTATGGGTCAAAATTATTGATTTTTCTTTTATGCAAAAAATCATTAGGATATTAAGTAAAGATCATGTTCCATGAAGACATTTTGTAAATTTACTACTGTAAATATATTAAATCTTAATTTCTGATTAGTAATATGCATTGCTAAGAACTTCATTTGGACAACTTTAAAGGTGATTTTCTCAGTATTTAGATTTTTTTGCACCCTCAGATTCCAGATTTTCAAATAGTTGTATCTCGGCCAAATATTGTCCGATCCTAACAGACCATACATCAATGGAAAGCTTATTTTTCAGCTTTCAGATGGTGTATAAATCTCCATTTCGAAAAATTGACACTTAAGACTGGTTTTGTGGTCTAGGGTCACATATGTCATTATTACACAATTCATTCTGTTGTCTTCTATTGAGATATGGTATTGACATCAATTTATGGTAAACTAAAGTATGCTTTATGTAATTTCTATTGAAACCTGTATGTCATGTATATAAATATATTTGTAATTGCACATTTGTAATGTTGGAGTAGCAATTTAGTACATTTTAAATATACTAACTGTAAAAAATGTAATAAAATATACAGTTACAATTATAATCAAGTACTTTAGTATGTTAGTCAAGACATCAAAATAAGTGTACAACAAAAGATTATTAAAACACAATGACATTATTTACAAAAAGTCTTTTTTAAAGTGTGTTTTTAAAACTTTTTAAAGCTGTGTCTCATGAAAGTTGTTCTCTTATTAAGCACACTTAAGTGCTGTTTATTTCATTAATATTATTTCATTGATATTATCTGCAGTACAGTTTAAAAAATATATATTTATACACTTTTTATGGTGTCCTTGTTACATTTTATTGTTATTATTATACTAAGTACATGTAATGTGTAACAAGGACACCATAAAATACTATATATTTTTAAGATGTTAAGTTCACTACAGGTGCACATTCAGTACATTTAAGCACTTCTTTTTCACAAGGGCTAATATATTGTATAAGCTATGAAACTGCTGTTTGTGAGTACGGTCTCTAAAAAAATATTTTTAAAGGGGTCATTGGATGCTACATACACTTTTACAAGTTGTTTGAACTGAAATGTGTGTTCAAAGCACGCTGAGTGGATTGAGCGCG